AATCTAGACTAGACACATTTCAAGTTCAAAAGTGACGCGTCATTACTGACTAAACACACTGGCCAGCACAGGTTTAGAGTGATTATGTCTAGTACAATGTCTCACAGCTATTTAGTAAAACCAAGATGCAACTTTAGGTCCTTCTAACTCCAAAGCCTGTTCTTTCTGTTTGAGGAAACTACCAGAAGTTAACATATCTTCAAGTATTCAAGTTACACTAACAAAATCCTGACTAGAAGATGAAACTTACTGGCAATTCAATTAAGTATTAAAAAAAAAAAAAAAAAAAAGCCCACTTTTATAATGCTAGTATATAAAACAAATGTCAGTTTTAAAAATGAAAGAAATTAGTAAGTAAAATTTCAGTGGACTAGATCTATTATGTACATAAATTGTGAACATGATACTTTATGTATATCAGTGTATATTTATAACAACATCCATGTGTTTTATGACCAATACCTGTTTTGGTTACCTTGAAATTATAGATGTTAAAAATGACTATCATCAACATCAAATCATGCATTTTACATTATTATCATTTGAAAACTACCAATTATTTGTGAACCATTTAACTGAAGGGAACACACAGGTTTTCTCATTAAAATGCTTTATCTTAGGGGCGCCTGGGTGGCTCAGTGGGTTAAGCCGCTGCCTTCGGCTCAGGTCATGATCCCAGGGTCCTGGGATCGAGCCCCGCATCGGCTCTCTGCACAGCAGGGAGCCTGCTTCCCTTCCTCTCTCTGCCTGCCTCTCTGCCTACTTCTCTGCCTACTTGTGATCTCTGCCTGTCAAATAAATAAATAAAAATCTTTAAAAAAAAATGCTTTATCTTAAACTCATGTAATATCAATTATATAAAGTATTAATTCCATATGGTATATATTTCTTAGTAACCCATAGCCATGTCACCCAGAAACTGGGGGTTATCCTGGACTCCCTCCTCCTCCTACCTTAGCCCCATATTCAATCAACTATCAATTTCTGTGAAACTTAACACACTAACATCTCTTCAACCACTCTTCTCCACTAACTTCTCTCCTCCATTATCACTACCGTGATCTAAGCCAATCTCTTCTGTGACCTAGACTCTCCTAATTTCACATGTCCTCCTGCTCCTCTCCAATCTAGTGTTTACAATGCAATGATAGTGATTATTTAAATTTTTATTTAAATTTTTAAAAAATGATTATGTCATTGCCTTGCTTTAGTGAAAACCCTTCACTGACTTTCCATAGTACTCAGGATAAAGATCAAAATATTTGACTACGGACTCTCCAGGATCATGCCTAGGGATTCCCAACTCAACAACCACCAGGTGAAATGCTGATTCATTAGATTTCCTTAACTGGCAGCTTAGTGGAGTGGCATAAAATGAAGAGCACATGCGCCTCTAGAGGGAGCAGCTCCTGCCCAGATCCAGCTCAGGGAAGCCATCCGAAAATACAGATTTGGGTGTTGCCAGATCCTCCGATAGTTTCAAGAGAAATCAGAAGTCCAGACTTTCATGTGAAATCTCCTGACATGTGAAGGCTAGCAACTAACTCATACTTTCTGAACAACGGAAGCCAAATCTGACCTCTTGTGTAGTCTCTTCGCCTAGCCCCACACTGCTAAATCTAGACCAGCCACACTGGACATTTGTCAGCTCCTCCATAATGCCAGGCTTTTTTCTTAGGGTTCTCACACACGTAGTGTCCTCGGCTTTGACTACTTTTTTTCCCCGCATCTCTACTTCACTCAGCAATCTGCTTGTTCTAAATCTCTGAGTCATTCATTGCTTCCTCCATGAAGCCTTCCCTACTCCCACAGCCTGCCCACCACCTCCCCTCAACCTCAATCCACAGGATAAATCACACCATCATGTGCTCTGACAGCACTGAGAACACTTTCATAATACTTATCACTCTTCGAAAATAAAGGTGTGTATTTAATGCCCATCATCCCCCTAGATGAGAAGCTCTATCAAAGCAGGACCTGACACCCAGTGGACATGCAATACACATTTGTTGCTAACTACATTGGTTATAAAATGTTCCTTTAGACAACAAGGTTCGGGTATGCTTTTAAAATACTAATCTGGGGGCGCCTGGGTGGCTCAGTGGGTTAATAAGTCTCTGACCTCTGCTCAGGTCATGATCTCAGGGTCCTGGGATGGAGCCCTACATCCCGCTCTCTGCTCAGCAGGGAGTCTGCTTCCCCCTCTCTCTCTGCCTGTTGCTCTGCCTACTTGTGCTCTCTCTCTGTCAAATAAATAAATAAAATTTTTAAAAAATATATGTATATATATTACTCTGTACCTAACTTTTCAGAAACATGTACAATACATAAGGTAGCCTCAAAATTAAAATAATTCCATTAAAACTACAATCACCAATAGCAATAACTGCTCATCCTTACGAGCACTTACTAAACACCAGGAAATATTCAGAGCACTTGTCTGTACCATCTCATTCACTACAACAATCTGTCAAGTAGATGCCAATGTCATCCAGGGCAAGCAGATTAGGCACAGAGTTTAAAAATTTCAAGATCATACATCTAATCAGTGACAAACTAGGCCATAAATCCATGCAGTCAAGACTCCAGAACTTAAGCACCTAACTATAATACTAAATTAACTCATTAATAAAGAAAAGTCAATTCAACAAGTACCCCTTAAATACTGTGAATAAGAAATAATGGCCATGATTCATTTTCCATTACGTATCCATTAAAGGTTCCTCACCCCTCTACCCTGCTCCCTTCTACATACACACAAAATAAAGATAAATTACGAATTTGTATTTTTCAAATTAAGATTTTTTTGAACCACACCCAAAATAGGTATGATTCTAGCACCAACCAGTTCTGTTGAAATGTTATCTTTTTGAATGATTTTTAAATGAGCTAATGTACATTAGCTTGATGTTTAACGTCTCATATTTTAAACTTATTATTTGAACGATCTCTATTTTGAAATGTATTTCATCGCCCACATTAGAAATTGCTGCAGACTGTGCCTTCAGATATGAAAAGCAACAACAGATAACATACCAAGCAAATATAATAAACTGATATGGCCACAGAAATTATGTACAAAGGTAACACAGGGATCCCTCTTCACCTAGACCCTCACTATTTGAATCCTTGCTTTCTAAAATTCAGGAACTAAGTAGATTCAAATAAATTCTCACATGTATCATTTGCTACCCAGGCTCCTACTCTAAAATTCAGGATCTAGCTCACAATCCCTTACTATTAGAACTCAAAACCAGCCAAAGCTCCCAACTCAGGAACCCAACAGTTTTGGGTAACAATACACGAAGCATATGCATTCAATTCAAAAATTCTTAAGAGATCTAAATAGGCTTTCTTAAAATGTAAGTAAGATGGCCATACCTGTATTCTCATTCAAATCTTATTTTTTCCAAATCTTACATTTTAACTACACTTAACTGAGAATTTTTCTAATGTATGTTTTTAAACTAGAATGTTGCTATATATTGTATATTTTTTAACCTTTAGACCACACTTAAAATATAAACTGTTTAGTATGTGACAGATTAGTGCAATAATAGTTAAATAACGTGTGGCTCTCAAAGAAATCTGAAGCCAGTATTACCACCCTTTATTTTCAAATCTTTATCATAGTTTGTATAAAAATCATAGGAAATAAAGTTCTCCAGGAAAACAATACTTGCAGTGTTAACTTTTCAGCAACATATTTCACAGATCACATCAGAATTTTCTCAAAGTCACAAAGAGCAAAGGGCAAAAATAAAAGAAACTGATGCGAAAGAGTACAGAATTTGAAAATGATGGCAAAAAGTCCAAATTTAGTTACAAAATAATGGCTTGAAACAATTTTAGAACTACTCCATAAGGTTCAGCCAAAAGTCAAAGAATAAGGAAGCAAATAATGAATTAACAAGATTGAGAAAAAGGAAAAACCAGCTGTCATTTCAACACCCCTTTATCCCAAGTATTTAACTTAGGCTCACGCCTGAATCTAAGCTTCTTCAAACACCTTGTGCTTAATTTAAAAAGTGAAAACTAATGTCAGCTGAAAACAGAATTCAAGTATATGGGTTTTTTTCACATACTCAAAAATTATTGTAAGAAACGGGAAAAGGAGGGGATTTAACAGGTGAAAAAAAAAATGTAGGTTTGAGAAAAGTAAAATACTTTCCCAAACTCTTCTTTTGACACAAATTGCATAAATGATTTAAAGAGATAGTTACTGGAGCTCCTATTTTATCCTAATTCCGCAAGACTCACCCAAGCTCTCCTCAAATTTGGTGATTTGAAAGAATGTGAACCCTTTCATCAATCAAATTGCAAAAGTTATTTGACACACTCCAACCCACATATTTAAAAAATAAGAAATTTAAAAACATAACCAAATCTACACACAAAGTGAAATGCCTGTAAGATTCAATGATATTTTTAACATAACTGATTTCCATATGGAGCACCAAAACAGATCCCCTGAAAATAACAGAAATCAAGGTATTTTTGTATGCTAAGAAAGGACAGGTACATTCTGCCCATCGTTGGTCTTCCTAAAAATCTAAGATTCACTACTAATCTTTAACTACAAGCTAGAGAATAAGAGCCCTTTGGGAGAGAAAAAACTTATAGAAGCTGTCAGGATTCAATGAGTCTATTTCACAGGGTGGCACTAAGACTGAATGCAATACATTCTAATAAATAAAGCAGCATATGTGATCATTACTTTAGATTAAATTTTCCTACCTCCCAACTGCTCACATCAGACCTAACATCTCTGAGCACAAATGTTTCTCCTACATAAAACAAAGGAGTTGCACTTTAGACTGGGCTCGAGGAGCCCTTCCAGTCCATGGTTCTATTCTATCAATTTTGAAAAAACCGTAACTCTAATGACTTAGGGAAAACTACACCTTACTGAAAAAAGAAAAATGTAAGACACGTTTGGTGCAATAAACCCCACCTTGCTCTGCCAAATGTTAATAATAAAACTTCTGATATAAACAAACCTGTGTCTATGTTCATCAGGTCCATGGATCAGGAAGACTCCAGGGTTTTTAGCCCCTTTGATGGCATCAACATGAGGAATTAACACATCTTCTAAACCCAGGTCAAAGCGTTTGTGTTTTGAAGAGTCTGGAAGGAAGAAAAATGCCCCAAAACACAGGGTGATGAAGGCACTTAGAATAAGAAGAAGGATAAACTTCTCGGAAAGTCTCAAGGTAGCCCTGTGATGTGGGAAAGAAGGTGGCCCCAGGTTCAGAGGTGGTATCCTTCGTCCAGATAAGGGCAGCAGGGCTGGGGTAGTCATCGTTTACGATCTTGGACAGAATATATTATAAAGTTCTCATCTTATATCAAATGTACAGTACATTGAACAGTCTCCAAAATCTTGGCAAGAAAAAAAAAAACCTCAATTTTGCTCCTCTTAACGGACTGTTGTGCTTTTTATTTTAATAGGGCACCTCTTTCACGCTCGTCCAATTACATTCAGAAACGTGTGGCCCCCACACGATCACTAGTTTGCGTTCTGTGATATTTTCTCTGCCATTTGGTTTTCAGTACCTCATCGGGTTATCCCAAGTCTCCTCTTCATTCCTAAGAGTGGATGAGGCAAGCAACACTGCAGAAACGATACAAGGTGGGGTCTTCCATTCCTGCACCCCAGCGAGATGCTCCAATGTGGTCTCCCGCCCCAAAAGTGAGCCTGCCCAGATCCGAGGAGTTGCAGAAGGCTCACTTAACCACCTCTGGTGCTCCACTTCCAGGACCTCTTCACCTCGGTGGTGGAAAAATAAGGGGCTCCTCGGAAGTCTGCCAACAGGGAAGGAGGGCGGTCTCCCGCCTCGCCTGGAAAGCGAAGCGGCGGCGCCCGGCGAAGTCGCAGGAAGGGGGTCTCGCACGCCCGCGCCTCCCGACGCCGCCCCCTGGCTCCAGGCTCCGGGGAGAGCTCCGCCGCTGCCCCCTCGACGGCCGGCGCGAAGGGCATTCGCGCCCCAAATGCCTGCGCCCTCGCAGCTGCCGCCGCCGCTGTTGCTAGCGCACGGGTCTGGCGGGGAGCGGAACTTCCTCCTCCGGCGGCCACTGAGAAGCCCCGGCGTGTGCGGGGGGGGAGGGGAGGCGCGGCGGCCACCCCCGCCTGGCTCCTCCTCCCGCTCGCCGCCGCCGTCGCAGTTAACCCCGGCGCCTGCTGTCCGGACGAGGCCGCCGGTAACCCCGCCGCGCCCGGCCGCAGTGACCGGGCCCCCGCGGCTCCGCAGCGTGGGAAGAAGACGAGCCGCGGCCCCTCAGTCGGAGAGCCCGGGGCAGGCGCCTGCTCATTCCTCGCTCCGCGCTGGGGAGGCGGCCGCCCCGGGCGCGCAGGAGCGGCCGCGCCTCGGGAGGGCAGAGGTCGGCTCCGGCTCCGGCTCCGTCCTCGCCGGCCGCGGGCCGCCGGGGGGGCCTCCTCGGCGCCGCCTCCGGTCGCTCGCAGCGGCTTGCTCTGGCGGCGGCGGGTGCGGGAGAGGCGACGCGTCCACGCGGTGCGGGGCTGCGGCCCGGTCCTCAGCCCCTGCCTCCTAGGCCCGAAGAGAGCAAACAGCAGAAGGCCGACGCCCGTTGGGCACACGCCTGCAAGGGACCGGGAGTACGGGGGTGGAGGGTGGATGGCGCGGGCCGGCCTACCGCCCCGACTCGCGAGTGGGCGTCCCCGGGCGCCGGAGTGTGAGGTGCGCGCGCACGCTCCCGGCCCCGCCCCGCCCGCGCTTCGGCCTCGCGCCGCTGCGGGCTCCGCCGCCCGCGCGCCCCCCGGAAGCGTCCTGCTGCCGCTGTCTGGGCGCGCAGTGGGCGCGGGTCGCCCCCTGCTCCCGGCTGCCAAGTTTGCCGCTGCCAGGCGCCTTGCCATCGCCAGTTGCTGGCATTGACCCGGCCTTGGGGAGATGGGGGGAGGGCTCGGGTCGCGAAGGTTTTCGCCGCAGTTAAGGCTTAGCGGAATTAACGGGCTCCGTGGAGCAAGAATTAATCTTGCTCCGTGGGAGTCTTGGCTTCTGGTATAGACCGTCGGGCCCTAGGGCCCAACGGCGGGATCTCAGACTTCTTCCCTGTAGCCCACGGGCACGTTGCTGGGCACCCGAAACTCGATCATCAATACGGAGCATCAACCATGTGCCAGGCTCTGTGTTAAAAATGGCGACCTGGCCTTTCCATTAGGTTTCTTTCCTGCAGAATGGGTGACACCAGCCTATATGACCCTGTATGAAAGCAGCCTCCTCGTGATTCAAATACTGCAATACGTTTTCCAGTCATCCCACTCACCACCACCACTCTTGTTAAAAAAAAGGATAAGTATGATCGAGAAGGTGCTAAAACCCAGAAGAGCAATATTGTTTAAGTTCAGGCTTAAAAACAATCTAAATAGTCAATTCCTTCATCCATAATATTGAGAACCATGTTGTGATTAAGTCTGAAAAAAATGTTATATCTACGTATTGTCGCTTGCAACTTACTTTCACATTGAGTTTTATTCTAATATTAAGGTAAATTCTTATTCCCTCTATGCATCCTTACTGATGGCTGGGGATTGGAGAGGAGGCCCTTAAATGTCGGGGAAGAAAAAGACAGTCTTAGCTCACTCATGCTCACTGGCACAACTCAAAGTACATTCCAGTCTGCACTATTTTCAGAAGCTCTGCATATCTAACTACCTACCATATGACAAAAGAAGTCATTGTCGTTGACCATGCTTCACCAAATCAAACAGAGAAAAATGTTAAGGGAGGGCCCCCTCTCACGAGTTCACGCCCTCATGCTGGCAGTAAAGTGTGCTCAATCCAAAATGAGGTTTCTGTTGGACACTTGTGAAGGATATGTATAAGAAAGGCCCTGCCTTCCAGAAGTGTCTTTATAAAATGTGCCAATTTTATGAATAAGTTTCTAATCCTGAGCCTCTCCAGAAGCCAAAGGAGAAGAAACATGGGTTTCCTGCTGGTGAAGTCATTATTTCCCATAAAAAGATGAGGGAAAATAAATATTGAGCTGTGAATGACATAGCAAGTTATGTGATTCTTGAAAAGTAAATATCTAAGTTGACACCAAATCATTAACCACAGAGAGATCAATCATAGGAAACCTGCCACAACCTAGTGTGACTTTGGCAAGCTCAACCTCATAGCTTATGGAAAAGGCTTATACGTGATCCTTCTTTCTCGCTCTTGCCTTTCTGCAAAATTCATTTTTCCTTCACAAGAGTAAAAACCTCATTATTTAAATTTGGATTTTTATAGATGTTTAGATGCGGTCTAAATGCAATTCTAAAGCTATTGATGCTATCAGTTATTTTATTATAATCTTACACAAGCATCACAAAGTAGCATGTAAAAAAGTAGCATGTAGTGTGTGCATATAGTCTCTTCTAGAGACTAGGTCACTTTCAAATAAGTTGTAAAAGAATCAGCATTGTTTTGTTGGTTTTCTTTAAAGCAAGTTGCAAGTATATTCATATATATGATTACAAGTATATAAAAATATACATATAAAAGATTAAAGGGGAAGATTTGAAAAAAGAAGTATGGCTGTTGTTAAGAGGCTGGTATTACATTTGATTTTCCCCGTATGTTTTATTTGTGTTCCTTTTATTATTAATTAAATAAATAAATAATATTAAAGAAACTGGTACTTGAGAAAGTTGAGGTCATATTTCTTATAGGTGGATTCAGTTGTACCAAGGTGAAAACACATCTGGGGGCAGTCAACAGAAAGCAGAGAGTATATATAAAACAGGGAAGGATCTCATTCTAGAGAGTGCAAAGAGAATATCTCATTTCTAAAGAGTAGTTATGCTTTAATCAAAGGCATAGGTAAGATTCCAAAGTGGCAGATAAAGTGTTGATTTCCCCTTTATAAATCCATATACATTAATTGATATTTCAGTAAATATGACTTAATTACTAACAAAACAAAATTTACCTCTACATATTTTGGATTTATAGGACCATTACTTAGATCCATTTATATATTACAATGTAAAGGTTATTTGTGTTCAATCATATGTTAATTTTTCCATTACCAAAACAATTTTAAGACCTATTACACACACACACAAACATATCATCTAGCTCTGTTTACAGTAAAATTGAAGTTATAAGCTAGAGAAAAAGATATACACCTGATATGCCAAAAAAAGCTTTTGTTTTACTTACATAACCTATTCCTTCTTATTTTCAACTGATTCCCCAATATCCAAGAAAGATGTTAGAGGAGAAATTACCAGACATGGCCACTAAATGCGTAGAGAATCAGGCTTTGGTCCTGTTCTTTCTGTTTTCACATTATTCTTTGAAGCCTTCTTCCTCAGAGGGCAGGAATGAACTGAAGTTCAATGTTATGAAACTCTCAGGTTAGCTCCATGAAAATCAGCAAAGCCATAAAAGCTTTAGGTGTCTCACTGAACCAAAGTGTTTGAGGTTCTTTGGCCCATAAAAGACAGATTTGTTGAAAGACTAGTATGTGACATACCCTATGAGGTGCTAGAGATTTGGAAAAAAAAAAAAAAAAAAAAGTCAGAATCCCTATTTCAACCAGATCATGGTCTAGTGTGGAGAGAGAGCTGAACACAGACAATTATAAATTGGGGGGGGGGTATTAATGTCAGAATAAAGCCCCAGGGTTTCCTGGGAACACGGAAAGGGCGCCAGAGTAAGGAGAGGGAGATTGGGAGTGTGTAGGGGAAGGTTCCTGAATCAAGTGTCACCTGAAACTGAGCCTTTAATTAACCAGGAGGAGAGAGGGAGGGTGCCCCAACCCAGGGAGCAGATTATGCACAGGAACCCCTTGCTGCTTTTTCCTGCCACTTATCTAGAACCCTTCCCTGCCTACTCTTCCGAAAAATAGCTGCCTGGCCCTAATCCCCCAATACTCTCCAACTGAAAAGTAGGAATTTTCAAATTTTAGAAAAACCTGTTCCTACATAAATTGCTAGGGCCTCTCCCAGAGCCCGAGACAGGACCACGCAAGGAGGAACCCAGAAGCTTAAACTTCACTGGGCTCATATAAATTACTTCTGCTCTGAATCCAGCCATATCCAAGGCTAGTTCATCCTTTGACCTTCTCCGTTACACGAGTCTATAGATTTCTTTTTTTCATCAGAATCAGTTTCTGCAGGTTTCAGTGTGAAGTATTGTCTGATACTCAGCATGTCTGCATGGAGGTGCTCTGCCTGCCTGTAGTATGCAAAGAAGCATCAGTAGTCTTACCAATGTAAAGGACCACTCTTCGGGTGGCCAACAGGCTTGGGCCAGGGACAAAAGTGGGATAGAACCAAGAGAGAACAACGGTCTTCTTGAGCAGCTAGAGGAGGAGGAGAAGACCTAAAATTAAAAGGGCTGGACGCAAGTGACAGCAGACCTTAGCAGCCCCCTACAGAGACCTTCCAATGGATGCTCAC